GTATCAGACTTGGCCAGTTATGCTCCAGTTTCGCTAAAAAGAAATGATATGCAAGATTTGCTAAGTATTTGGGAAAGTTAGGACTCAAACAAAAAATTACAGTTTTATCAGACTTACGGAGATATCCCATATTTGCTCTATGTCGAAGTTGATGATGACTTACTTCGAGCCCTAATTCAATTCTGGAATCCAGGGTACAATTGCTTCACTCTCAATAAGGAGGACTTGGTCCCTACTATTGAAGAGTACACTTTGCTACATATAGAAGGGGCTTTGGAGAATCGAATCTATTCAAAGTCAATTAAAACTCAACCCTTTCGAGTTAAATTAGCAAAGATTGCCGGGGTACGAGAAGAATGGGTGGCATCCCGTACAAAACAAAAGGGCGAAAGCGAAGGCATTGCTTGGACTAACATTAAAGAACTTATTCAGAGTCATCCAGACACTAAAGTACGATTTGATCTATTTGCTCTGGGTATGTATGGTATGGTCATCTTCCCAAAAGTATTGGGATATATTGAAGCTGCAGTAGTAGATTTGTTTGAGCAGCTACCAAAAAGATAATCCTGCTTCTGCAATTCTAGCAGAGACTTTCAGATCATTAAATACTTGTAGAAAGTTAGGAGGTGGACGATTCTCAGGGTGTACCCAATTGTTATATGTTTGGATCCGTAGCCATTTCTGGAGGACAGAAAAGGTTTCATACCGGCGCTTTAATACGGATTACTCACCATTAAAAGAATTTCTGGAGCAAGAATGGCCGAAAGAAATTAAGAAAGATATGTGGATTAATGCCTTTCGAAATCTGCAAAGCAATGACATTGTTTGGTGAGCCCCATGGCAAATCCAAAGAGAATTCTTTTACAAATGTGGTGATTACAATTGGATAATGCTGCTCGGATTGTGGGGAGGAATTGGATATGCACCACTTTGATCATAAGACAGTATAAAGGTCGTCAATTTGTACCTGTCACTGCTGGATACATTCATCTGAGTTCGCATTCCACAGCAAAATTATAAAAGAAATATTATGGAAGCCTTTACGGCTTGGAAAACAACTTTTTGTATCCGAGCTAAAGCAGCAAAAGAAATGTTAACTCCTGATTATGAAGAATGGAGATCTGTCAGGAAAAATGAAAATATTCCTCTACCAGACCAAACTGTGGATATCTCTATGGAAGATCGCATTAAGGTGGTTCCATCAGAGATTGAAATCCTGAGAGCTGAGTTTGAAGCAGAAAGAGAAGATTGGTCAAGAGAATTAGAGCAAATGAGACAAGATAAAGCTATGTTAGGTGTTGACATTGACTTTCATTCATCACAATGTGCAATGTTGAGAGAAAACAAAGAAAAAGTTGATGGTGAATTCAGAGCATTAAAGAAAAATTACCAGAAGTTATATAAATCCCGGAAAGCATTAGGACCAAGCCGATCAACAGTACAGATGACCAGAGAATTGAACATCGAGAAAAGTCGAGTTGAAGATCTAAGGAAAGAATAGCCGTCTACTCAAAGCCTTGAGAGATTGAACATCGAGAAAAGTCGAGTTGAAGATCTAAAAGGAAAGAATAGCCGTCTACTCAAAAGCCTTGAGAAAGGAAAGAAAAAAATGGAAAATTTTGAGGTTGACAGAAGAGAGCGAATTATAAAACACAAAGCTGAACACAGCGAAATCATGAATGAAATGCAAAGAGAAAGGGATCGAGCCAAAGATTTAGAAGAGATGAAGAGTGATATTCTTGATAAATTTGAGGGTGAGAAAAATATCATGTTCAAGGGATTTGAATCTGAAATGAACCAGCTGATTGCCGAACTTGAAGTTAGAGGCCAAAGGATTGAAGAGTTCAATGTTGAAAAAGAAAAATGGGAGCTGGAAAGAAAGAATTTCAACACCAAACTTGAGGTAGAGCAAGAAGTGGCTAGCAATTGGATGCAAAGATGCAGAAAACAAGAATGTTCAAATCAGAAGCTTAATCAAAGAACGCAAGAAAGAAGTAATATGGTATTCGAGGCCATGGTACAAATGAGCGAAGTTGCTAGATATGTTGGGGAACTAGCTGTTGAAGCTAAAATAATTGAGCATCACGTTGATCCAGTTTCTAAGTTTGGAAAGAAGTTGTCATGGTTAATGAAAGAATTATAGAGCTTAATAGGAAAGCTACGCCTTATCTGTAGTTATGAACTATTATAAAGAAACTTTTGTATGCCGATGAAAGTTGTTCTATGACAGTTAACTTTTTGGGATCAATACCTTTTTGCATACATTCATTTCATGATTTTCTTTATGTATAATTTTTATTATTAAGATAAAATTCATTAAATAAAATTTGAAAAAAATATAATAATATCAGAAGATTTTTCAATTGCAGTTATTCTGGCCAAAAGAGAAATACAACATCACTACTGTACTAGACAAGCTACTAAGATAATTATGGAGGATAAAATACAACATATTGAGGAACAACATAATAAAGAACAAGCAGAAATGAGAATGAAGCTAGAGAAAATTGAAGCCAGTATTGCAAACTCACAAGACAGCATGATGCAGAAAATAGAAGACATGTTTAAAAGGCAGGCTATCATTGGAAAAATGCATGAAAATCCTGTATCTTTCGACCAAGAACCTATGTATCCTTTAGGTTTTCCACCAAAACCAATTTATCACTCTGGTACTACACCTATACAAATCAATGCCCGCACACCAGCATTTCAAGAAGCCAAACCACATGAAAATCGACAAGTGGATCCTGCATCTTCAAGCAAAAATCCACTTATATCAGATGCGAAAATAGGGGATTTTAATGCTGAACATTTAATCCCAGATTTGAATGAGCTGAATGAGAAAGAAAAAGTAAATGAAGAATTGACCAGACAGATCAAGAGCTTAGAAGAACGAATGAAATCCGTTGGAAATAACTGAATCATTCTATGGGTTTGACGCTAGTGAGTTGAGTTTGGTTCCAGATCTAATCCTCCCCATCAAGTTCAAAGCTCTCGAATTTGATAGATATGACGGTACCACATGCCCTTCATCCCATATTACTATGTTTTGTCGCAGAATGGCAGGATATGTGAAAGACGAGAAATTGTTAATTCACTGATTTCAAGATAGTTTGACAGGACCAGCCTTAAAATGGTATACTCAATTGACCAAAGCCAACATTAGATCTTGGAAAGATCTGGCTAAAGCATTCCTAGAGCAGTACCGCCACGTAACAGACATGGTCCCTGATAGATGGACTCTCCAAAATTTGGAGAAAAAGAATAATGAAACGTTCAGACAGTATGCTCAGAGATGGCATGACACGGCAGCCCAGGTTCAACCACCTTTGTCAGAAAAAAGAGGCCACAGTATATTTGTCCATACATTGAAAGCTCCTTATTTAAATCATCTAATGGGGAATGCAACCAGAAATTTGCAGATTTGGTCATTTCTGGAGAACTCATTGAAAATGTCTTGAAAAGTGGCAAAATTGAATCAAATGAGGGGTCTAGTTCCAAAAGACCTATGTACCGGAAAAAAGAGAATGAAGTCAACAATGCAAACTCTTACAACAAGGATTCATCGAAAAGTGTTACAATAACCCAGCCAAGGGTTAAGAAAGAGGAAACAAACACTAATCGAGCAGAGTCCAGAGGATCTCGAAAGGAAAATGAAAGGTTGTCTTTTACACCTTTACCAGTACCATATGCTGAGATTTATGATTCGCTGTTAAAAGCAGATGTCATACGGCCCTATCCTTTGGTTCCCATGCAACCACCATTCCCTCCATGGTATGATGCAAAGGCACACTGGGTTTACCATGAAGGAATTACGGGTCATTCTATTGAAAACTGATTGGCATTCAAAAGGGTGGTTCAAAATTTGATCAACACTGGAAAGTTGGAATTCAATTCACCATCTACATCAAATCATCCATTGTCAAATCATGGAGATAAAAACGTGAATGCAATTCAGGAAGAGAACAGAAAGAAAGCAAAAACTGACATTTCTGAAATTAAATCTCCTTTTGTTTGGGTATTCCAACAACTCTCTTTAACCAGTATAATTCCATAACAATTTAGGCCAAAGCATAATGAAGGCAAGAATTATTGTGAATATCATCAAGAGAAGGGGCATGAAATTCAACTATGTCCTGAGTTTAGGGATTTGGTGCAAAAATTGATGAATAGCAGAGAGATAGAATTTTTTGAAGAAGAACCAGGGAAAAAAGAAGATGATGTTTGCTCATCAGAGGATTCTAAACCTAGTCAAAGAACAAATAATCCTGTGATCATTAATGTGAAATCATCTACAGTAATTCCTGCACCAATAAAGCCGAAAGTAGTTATCACAACTCCTTTACCATTTTCATACAAGGATGCCCGCAGGGTACCTTGGAATTATACTACCAATGTTTCAATGGTAGGAGGATCTGTTTCTCTAGAAAAAACAGAAGAGAAAATACAGAGTCTGAGTTCAACATCTGAAGCAGTAAGTGAAGTCGGATTCTTTACAAGAAGTGGGAGATGTTACTCTCCCGAAATATCCAATGCCTCGGAACAAGTGAAAACAAAAGGAAAAACCATGGTAATACCCCAAAAGGTATTTGATGATGAATCCCCTCCAGCATTCAATGAGCCTGTAACATAAAAACAAGCGCAAGAATTTTTGAAATTCCTGAAACATAGTGAGTATAGTGTGGTTGAACAACTACACAAACAACAAGCGAGAATTTCTATTCTTGATCTATTGATGAATTCAGAAGAACATAGAAATGCTTTGATGAGAATGCTTAATCAAACCTTTATCCCTGAAGATATATCCCTCAATAAACTTGACAGAATTATGGGACATATAGCCGCTGACAATTACATAACGTTCACGGATGATGAAATACCTGAAGGCGAAATGGGGTCAGTAAAAGCTTTGAATATCACGACATATTGTCATGGTCATGTTTTGCCAGGAGTATTGATTGACAATGGATCCGCTCTCAACTTGATGCCTCTAGTCACACTTCAAAGAATGGCTGTGGATAAATCACACATGAAGAGTTATCAGAATGTAGTACGAGCTTTTGATGGTACTCAAAAAGAGGTGCTTGGGAAAATGGAAATACCGTTGTTAATCGGACCAGTCGTGTACAATATTGACTTTGTGGTGATGGACATCCACCCTACATATAATTGTTTATTAGGGAGGCCATGGATTCATTCAGCAGGAGCCGTTCCTTCTTCATTACATCAGAAATTGAAATTTGTTATTGATGGACAACTAATATGCGTAGGAGCTGAAGAAGAAATCATTGCGTCTATAACAAGTGATGTTCCATATATTGAAACCAATGATGATGCTCTTGAATGCTCTTTCCGAGCTCTTGAATTTGTCAATGCAACCTTTATTGCAGAAGGAAGCAAAATTCCACATCCCAGATTATCTGATTGTACCAAGATGACGGTACAACAAACTTTAGGCATCGGAGGTAAAGCTGGGAAAGGTTTAGGAAAGAATCTTCAAGGGATTTCAGTTCCTGTAAGTATAAAGATGAAGAAAGATCGTTTTGGGCTTGGATTTAAGCCTAATTTTCAGCAAAAGAACAAAGAGATGAAAAGAAGATGTGAAGACAGAAAGGCAAGGTTGAAAGGAGAATAAATCTTTTGGGAATACATGTTTTTCCCACAATTGAAGACCACATTCAGATCAGGGGGAACAATTAATGTAGAACAACAGCTTGATGAGGCCTTTAAAGAAGAAAAGTTGACGAAAGATCAAAGCATAGTTGAAGAAGCTATGAATGGATTATTTATCAACATGATCAGGAATGACAACAAGACTGGCAAATACTTGGATAGGATTCGCCCATGTTTTCCTGGAGAAACACTCAATAATTGGACCACTGAAGACCTTCATATAGTTTTTAATATTAACACAGAGTAATATTCAGAACTAATCTTTATGTTTAGCTCAAAAGTATGAAAACTTTTTGTTATCTTGTAAAGGAAATTAGGTTAAATATAAGAAATTTTCTTTAAAATTTTCAGATGGCAATCATTCTTTACATTTTCTTACATTTTTACATTTATTTATTTCATAAATTTACTATATTCTTTCGGAAATATGTCCGACTTAAATTTGCAGGTGTCACCATGTTAATAGCATGTTTATTCCTAAATTTAATCAAGAGATAAATTTAGAGCAGCCCATATGTCTGGAAGAAATCAATGGGTGTGAGGATGAGCTGGAATGTGATGTTCCTACTGAATTATTAAGACTGGTAGAAAAAGAAGATAAACAAATTCTACCTCACAAAGAAGAAATTGAAACTGTAAATCTGGGAACAGATGCAGAAATGAAAGAGGTGAAAATTGGTACTACTCTGACAATCCATATAAAACAAGAATTAATAAATCTTCTTCAAGAGTTCAAAGATATCTTCGCCTGGTCTTATCAAGATATGCCTGGTTTGAGTACAGATATAGTAATGCACAAGCTTCCAATCAATCCAGAATATAAACCGGTCCAACAAAAGCTCAGGCGAATGAGGCCATAAAGTGATGCCATTTGGATTAAAAAATGCAGGGGCAACGTATCAAAGAGCCATGGTAACTTTGTTTCATGACATGATGCACAAAGAGATTGAAGTATATGTAGATGACATAATTGCCAAATCCCGAACTGAAGAAGAACATATTCAAAATCTGAGAAAGCTCTTCCAGAGATTGAGGAAGTATCAATTAAAGCTCAACCCCGCTAAATGCACTTTTGGGGTAACTTCCGGGAAACTTTTGGGATTTGTGGTCAGCAAAAAAGGAATCGAGATTGATCCAGATAAAGTAAAAGCAATTCAAGATCTTCCACCACCCAATACAAAAAAAGAAGATCGAGGCTTTTTGGGAAGATTAAATTATATATCTCGGTTCATTTCTCAATTAACTGACAAATGTGATCCAGTGTTCAAATTACTTCGAAAGAACAATCCTGAAGTCTGGAATGATGAATGTCAAGAAACTTTGGATATTATTAAGAAATATTTATCCAATGCCCCCATTTTAGTATCACCAATGCCTGATAGACCATTAATTCTCTACTTGACGGTCTTTGAAAATTTGATGGGATGTGTACTGGGACAGCATGATGAATCTGGAAGAAAAGAAAAAGCTATTTATTATCTGAGCAAGAAATTTACTGATTGTGAAATTCGATATCCACCAATACAAAAATTATGTTGTGCCTTGGTGTGGGCTACTCGAAGACTCAGACAATATATGTTATATCATACTACTGGTTGATATCCAAACTTGATCCTTTGAAATTCTTAATGGAATCACCAGCTTTGACAGGCAGAATGGCTAGATGGCAAATGTTATTATCTGAGTTTGATATTGTATATGTCAACCAAAAAGCGATAAAAGGAAGTGTCATAGCTGATTTTCTGGCCAGTCGTGTATCAAATGATTATCATCCTTTGAGTTTCAATTTTCCAGATGAAGATTTGTTGTGCATATCCATGAATGAAGAAGTCGTAACAAATGATGCATCTGCATCTTGGAAGCTTTACTTTGACGGAGCATCCAACGCTTTGGGATGAGGAATCGGGGCAGTGTTAATTTCTCCAGAAAATATTTATTATCCCTTTACAAGTAGATTGGAGTTCTTTTGCACCAATAACATGGCGGAATATGAAGCTTGTGTCATGGGATTGAAAGCAGCTATAGAAAGAAAAATCAAATGTCTCAAAATATATGGAGATTCATCGTTAGTGGTGTATCAATTACGATGAGAATGGGAAATAAAAGATCCCAAATTGTTGGAATACCGAAATTTTACCCTCAAATTAGTGAAAGAATTTGAGAAAGTCACCTTCAATTATCTCCCTCGAGAAGAAAATCAAATGGCAAATGCTTTGGCTACATTAGCTGCTATGTTTCAGGCAACTAAGAAAGTTGATATGATGCCAATCAAAATGCAAGTATATGAAATTCCTGCACATTGTTATAGTGTGGAAGAAGAGGTAGATGGTAAACCATGGTATCATGATATCCTGCAATATATTAAAAATCAAAGTTATCCACAAAATGCATCTGAAATTGATAAAAAGAACCTTGAGAAGAATGGCTGCTGGATATTTTCTTGATGGCGAGATTATGTATAGAAGAAGCAATGATCAAATGCTATTGAGATGTTTAAATACTAGCGAAGCCAGAAGCATCATTGAAGAAGTACACAGTGGAATATGTGGAACACATGCAAATGGTCTTTCCATGGCCAGAAAAATAATGAGATATGGATACTATTGGGCTACCATGCACACAGATTGCATTGATTATGCAAGGAAATGTCATAAATACCAGATATATGCAGACAAGATTCATGTACCCCCATCTCCTTTACATGTAATGACAGCACCCTAGCCATTTTCTATGTGGGGAATAGATGTCATTGGTGCAATCACACCAAAAACATCGAATGGACATTGTTTCATCCTTGTGGCAATTGATTATTTTACCAAATGGGTTGAAGCTGCTTCATATGCCAATATTAAGAGGTCCACAGTCTGTAAATTCATAAAGAAAGAGATAGTTTGTCGGTATGGCCTACCAGAAAGGATCATTACAGATAATGCTCTGAACCTGAACAACAAAATAATGACCGAACTTTGTGCACAGTTTAAGATCAAACATGCAAACTCAGTGGCATATCGTCCAAAGATGAATGGGGCAGTTGAAGTAGCAAATAAGAACATCAAGAGAATCATTACAAAAACCATTGAAACTTACAAAGATTGGCACGAGAAGTTACCTTTTGCTTTATATACATACCGAACTACTGTTCGAACATCTACTGGGGCAACACCTTTTTATTTAGTCTACGGGATGGAAGCAGTCTTACCAACTGAAGTTGAGATTCCATCGCTTCGAATATTGAGAGAAACAAAATTGGATGAATCCGAATGGATCCAAGCTAGATTTGATCAATTGAACCTTATTGAGGAGAAAAGATTGAAAGCTATTTGCCATGGACAGATGTATCAGAAACGGATGATGAAGTCTCATGACAAGAAAGTACATCCAAGAGAATTCCAAGAGGGTGATCTAGTACTAAAAAAGATCTTGCCTATACATAAAGATTTTCGTGGGAAATTGATGCCTAATTGGGAAGGGCCATACGTTGTAAAAAAGGCCTTTTCCGGAGGAGCGTTGATCTTGGCAGAAATGGATGGAAAAATTCTGAAAAATCCAATAAACTCGGATTCTGTCAAGAAATATTATTCTTGAAGAGAAAAAAAAGAGAAATAAAAAAGAAACAAAAAATAAAAAAAAAAGGAAAAAGAAAAAAAGGGGTCAAGATGAAAACCCGCAAAGGGCATCTTGTAACCAAAGGAAGGATTTGAGTTGAAAACCTGAATGGGCGGCTGAAATGCATATTGATATTAGGCATCTGGCAATCGAACCCTCTTAAGATTTTGACAGTTTGGGAGAAACTTCACATCTACAAGCATTTTGACAACGTTTGAGATCTTCCAGACAAAAGCTTACATCATTACTCTAAATTGTGTCAATTTGATTAATTTAGAAATACTTATGCTAATAATTTGTTGAGTCATTTGAATTTTTATCATTCTTATGCTTGCCATAACTTTGAATACAATTCTATCTATTTCAAGTTCAATTTATTTGAGATTCAATTTATTTTCGAAAATTCAATTTATAATTTTGAAATAAGTTAAAGATTTCTGAATATCACTTTATGTTAATACTTTTAAAGGCATGGAATTCAAAGTAAGCAAATTATCACCATCATAAAGCCATGAACAAGTCATTATCATCACTCTGGTTATATAGGGTAACATTGGTTACAGTATTCCAAAAGTTGAAGATGACCAGTTTTACTGTCAACTAAACCGTTCCATGATTCGAAAAGAGTGGGATATATTGGAGCAGCAGAAGAGACAATTTGTTGTAGCAATCATTGCAAGTAAAATGCACCAACAAAAATCTTCAAGCCCATGAATGATGTTTATTTTTTCCA